TTCTACCGGTGAGAAAAAATGGAGGTTAGTAATAGACTATAGAAAATTAAATAATTGCATAGAGGACGACAGATTTCCGCTCCCAAACATAACAGAAATACTAGATTCTTTGTCAGGATGTATTTACTTCAGCCATCTCGATTTATATCAAGGTTTTTACAACGTAGAGTTAGATAAAAACAGTAGAAAGTATACAGGTTTCTGTTCAGGTCGATACCAATTAACAAGAATGCCTAGGGGCTTAAAAACTAGTCCATCTTCATTCTCGCGAATGATGACAATGGCTATGGCAGGTCTCACAAACGAGAAATGCCTTGTATATCAAGACGATTTAATTGTCTATGGTCGAAATTTATTAGAAAAGTCAAAAAATTTACAAGACATTTTTGAAAGATTAAGGAATGTTAATTTAAAACTTAATCCGGCAAAGTGCGATTTTTTTAAAAAGGAAATGCTTTATTTAGGACACGTGGTATCCCGTGACGGTGTTTTACCGGATCCAGGGAAAATAGATACTGTGAAAAATTACCCCATTCCAAAGTCTGTTGACGAGGTCAAGCGTTTTACAGCGTTTGTTAATTTTTACAGAAGATTTGTACCAAATTTTGCGTCAAAGGCGTATCCACTGAATAAATTATGTAGGAAAAATGTTCCTTTTGTTTGGGATCGCGAGTGCCAAAATTCATTTGAAACCTTAAAACAGTGTATAATGTCTCCACCAGTGTTACAATACCCAGACTTTTCGGAAACTAATAACTTTACAGTGCAAACAGACGCATCTGGTTACGCGATCGGCGCTGTATTAAGTAATAGCAATAATCACCCTGTTGCATACGCAAGCAGAAGTTTAAATATTGCTGAACAGCGATACCCCACTATTGAAAAGGAATTATTGGCAATAGTGTGGGCCGTAAAACATTTTCGTCCTTACCTTTATGGTCGTAAATTCAAAATTATTACAGACCATCGTCCATTAGTGTATCTATTTAATATGCGAGATCCTTCTAGCAGGCTCATGAAATTTAGACTAATATTAGAAGAATACGACTTTATTATCGAGTATGTAAAGGGTTCGGACAACGCAGCTGCAGATGCATTGTCTCGGATTTCTTTGACATCAGAACAATTAAAACAAATGGGTGAATACCATATAAATGTAACAACTCGAGCACAAGCACGAAAATTACAAAAAACTACAATACAGTCTCCTTGTGATGTGGTTTCTAATCGCAATTGGTCTGATCAGCCAATTGTTATTGGAAGTCAAACAAAACCAAGAGATGCTGTAGAGCTTAGGTTTATAGAGAAAAACGAATTAGATAATTTAAGAAGACAAAATAAGCTAACTGTGGAAAAAAGCGCGTTTTGCTACGTGGAGAGCAAGTCTACTATTTTTATTAATGCCAGTTTCCAATCACAATTGACGCGAGCCGCATTTGTGAGGGAATTGGATATATTATGTAAAGAAATAAACGTCGACGAAATATATTTTTTGAAGAATAAGAATAATGCTATATTTATTGAAAAAGTATTAAATGAAATAAAATCCCTAGGAAGTAGGAGTTCATTAAAATTTTACGTCTTGAATGACGTACGACGAATCGATGACAAAGATGACAGGAAGGTCATATTAAACGACTTCCATCTTTTGCCCACAAGTGGCCACGCGGGCATGAGAAGGATGTTTAACAATATTAAGAAATATTTTTACTGGCCAGGGTTAGAGAAAGATGTTCGAGAATTCGTTAAAAAGTGCGAAAACTGTCAAAAACAAAAACACTCTGTAAGTATTAGGGAGCCGATGGTTATCTCTTCTACGGCTACAACGGCATTCGACAAAATATTCTTAGATTTAGTAGGCCCGTTGGATAGGGATTGTTATAATTACTCTTATGCTCTTACATTACAATGCGAGTTGACAAAGTATGTTGTGGCTCATCCTTTAATTTCAAAAACGGCAGCAGAGGTAGCTCAAGCATTAGTTAATTGTTTTATTCTTCGCTACGGAATACCGAGAGAAATTGCAACGGACAGAGGATCCGAATTCATGTCTTCAGTATTTGAACAGGTATGTTTACTTTTAAAAATAAAACACTTAACATCTACAGCCTATCACCACCAAACTATTGGCGCATTAGAAAATTCTCACAAACATTTAAATTCATTCTTACGTATACAAACAGACAATCATCCAGAATCATGGAGCCAATGGCTACCATATTGGTGTTTTTCTTTTAATACTTCCGTGCATTCTGAAACTAAATTTACTCCCTATGAGTTAGTCTTTGGAAAAATCTGTTCTCTTCCTAGTAACTTAAATAGCAACATAGTAGAACCGCTATACAATCATGATAATTATCCAAACGAACTGAAATATCGCCTACAGTTGTCACAAAAGGAAGCAAGGGAAAATTTACTCAAAAGCAAAGTAGCAAGGAAATGTGTTTATGACAAACGTATTAACCCTATTGTATACAAACCCAATGACTTAATTTTAATAAGAAATGAAAACTGTAACAAAATGGATAATATTTATTCCGGTCCGTATGTGGTCGTAAAAGATGTAACACCGAATGTTCAAATAAATAAAAATGGTAAATTAGATTTAATTCATAAAAACCGTACAAAATTGTTCATACCGAATACTTGATAATAGTTACCAGCTGACCTGTCCCCTGATAAAATCTCACTTGTTATAGTATATTTTAGAAATTAAGATTGCATTTATACTTTACTATTGTATTTTAGAAATAAATATTGCATTTATACTTTACTATTATATTTTAGAAATTAAGATTGCATTTATACTTTATACTTTACTATTGTATTTTAGAAATAGAGATTGCATTTATACTTATTTTTAATACGAAAAAAAAACCTATGCTTAGTGTATTTTTTTTTTCTTTTTATGGAAAGGAGGTGTGGTGTGTACCCTATTATAGACATTCATGTATCCCTATATAATCATTGTGTATTCTAAAATATATTCAGTATTGTCTCAACATTCGGCGTTTCAATACCTCTCCAATATCCCCGGCGTACAAGCAGTCAAAAAACGCAAAAAACATAACCCCAATATGATCAACCAGCTAATGGGGGATCTCCCCGAATCAGGATGCAACCCTTCCATCATACCGGGGTGGATTACACTGGGTACATCGTTATCAAACCAAAGAAAGGTTACAGTGAAATTAGTCTCGAGAAATTTTTGCATATGTAGTGGTGTGCATATTACTCAGATCTTAGAGCTTTCCACTGTTTCGATATCCTAACATTACTATTTAATTTTATACTTATCCCTAGCAACACTCTGATTTTTGTTTTTAATAAAAACAAGTTTTTATTTTAAAGAAAAAGGTTTTGACTTTATAAAAAAAAAGGTGTGTGTGCGATTCACACACGATAGAAGTGAAACTTCAAAGAGGAGAGACCGATATTTAATTTTTTTTTTTCCTTTCATCTAAGTTTTTAAAACTCCGGGGGGCTACGGGGGGGTCAAAATTTTTGTTATTTTTGGCCTAGGACGCACCGTTTCAGAGATATTTCAATCTAAAGCAAAAAATCGTCACTTGATAGTGGAAAGTGGAAACACGCACAAAACCAGAATAAACCAGTTTACGCTGTCCGCAGGTGCCACTACTACAAACGCAAAAATTTCTCCAAGCTAATTTACCTGTACGTGGCTTTTTGTATGTATGGCAACAAAAGCTGTCCATCTAGAATTGGTTTCCGATCTAACAACTTTTACATTTACAGCAGCATTACGTCGGATGGCTGCCAGAAGAGGCATTCCGGGACACATATACAGCGATAACGGCACCAACTTTACAGGTGGGAATCATGTGCTGCAACAGCAGTTCCAAGAACTACAGGAGCGGGCTATCCCTGCTATCACGGATATGGAGATACAATGGCTTTTACAATGATCCTGGCCATCTGCAGGGGGGGCTTTGGGATTTGGAGCTGTAAGCATCATATGCGCAGGGTAATCGTCGAGCGTTGGCACCAGGGACTTCCTTTCTAGACGGCGTGCGGTTTTAGTCGGTTCGAGTTTGACATGCCACCGATAGGTGGTGTCCGAGGGAATTTCCGCACGAAAAAAAAAAGGGTAATCGTCGAGCAAAAGTTGACGTACGAAGAATTAATTACAATCTTATCCCAGATAGAAGCATGCTTAAACGCCAGGCCTCTTCGCCCCATGACCGAGGACCCTGAGGATCTCGATGCGTTAACTCCATCACATTGATGATGATGTACACATTTGATTAGTATATTATATTCAATAATTAAGTACAATAAAAGCATTCTACCTTATCCGTTGTCTCAATACACTCATAGCAATAAGTATTTTATCACTAAATGCAGAGAAACATCTCTACACGTCCTATATCGACCGAGTTAGAAAAGGAATTAAATGAAAATCGGTGAAGTTCGCAAGTCGTTACGTCTATTTATTTATGGAGGAAGGTGGCGCGGGGCGGATGACGAAGGGCGGTCAGACGCTGGGCAGGTGGCGCGGGGCAGATGACGAAGGGCGGTCAGACGCTGGGCAGGTGGCGCGGGGCAGATGACGAAGGGCGGTCAGACGCTGGGCAGGTGGCGCGGGGCAGATGACGAAGGGCGGTCAGACGCTGGGCAGGTGGCGCGGGGCAGATGACGAAGGGCGGTCAGACGCTGGGCAGGTGGCGCGGGGCAGATGACGAAGGGCGGTCAGACGCTGGGCAGGTGGCGCGGGGCGGTCAGACGCTGGGCAGGTGGCGCGGGGCGGTCAGACGCTGGGCAGGTGGCGCGGGGCGGTCAGACGCTGGGCAGGTGGCGCGGGGCGGTCAGACGCTGGGCAGGTGGCGCGGGGCGGTCAGACGCTGGGCAGGTGGCGCGGGGCGGTCAGACGCTGGGCAGGTGGCGCGGGGCGGTCAGACGCTGGGCAGGTGGCGCGGGGCGGTCAGACGCTGGGCAGGTGGCGCGGGGCGGTCAGACGCTGGGCAGGTGGCGCGGGGCGGTCAGACGCTGGGCAGGCAGGCGGCGATGGCGCGGCGCAGCGCCTGGCGCAGGTCGGCGCCGCCCTCGCAGAACACGTGCGTGGCGTGGCGCTCCACGTGCAGCAGCGTGTCGTGGCGCGGCAGGTGCACGATGCAGCCGTCCGGGCCGCGCTCCACGCGCGCGTCGCCCACGCCCTCGCGCGCCAGCTCGCGCACGAGCGCGTCCACGTCGGGCGCGCCCAGCTCCAGGCGCGGCGCGGCGCGGCGCGGCGGCTCGTCCAGCGACACGCGCGAGTCGCGCACGCGCAGCGCCGCGGCCAGCGGGGCGGCGCGCAGGCCGGCGCGCAGCTCGCGCGGCGCCAGCGAGGCGGCCAGCGCGCCGCTCAGCGTGGCGCGCGTCAGGGCGCGGCGCGGGCCCAGGCGCCGCGCGGCGCCGCGCCGCAGCAGCACGGTGGGCACGTCGGCGCTGATGCACGGCCGCGGCGCCGCGCCGGGCGCGCCCGCGTACTGCTCGGGCAGCGCCAGCTCGCGCGGCCGCAGCTCGCGCACCAGCTTGTTGGCCTGCGAGTAGTTGAGCGACGTGTCGATGGGGCAGTGGAAGGCCTTCATGTTGAGCGGCTGGAACGGCGCCAGCGCGTCCGCGTACGGGAAGTCCGGTTCTGCGATAGAAAGGGTCGCGGCGAGCGCAATGTTAATGCGGTGCGTGCGACTGGCGAACGACGACGACGTTAAAGTTTCTTCGAAACCCTTCTTTGAAACGACCGACCGGCGAGAAATCTTGGAATATGATCTACTTTTACTGTATATGAATTAAAATTAATTATTAATTAAAATTAAAATAATTTGGCATTTCGAAACTGATAGCGAAGCCTTTAATCGCGAATTCGAGATATTTATTAAACCCGAGTTTAGACTCTTATGACTTATTCTGATGAGTTCAAATGACCGAGCATAATATTAATAACGTTGATTTAAAAAAAGGCAGAAGATAGACTTAAGTCCTTAAAACGTTTATTTCCTCTTTTTAACCGAACAATTTTATAAGTTTTCAATTTGTTTTCGGTACTGCGCGAAAGGACCAATCTTTTTCCACACGATGCCTTATATTAGGGACCTGTGAATATTTTCACGAAAGAGTTCATTAACCGCGTACTAATTATAATAATAAGGGTGGACGGCACGGGACAATAAGCTTTATCATTATACACATAAAATCGTAAGTAGGTTTTGCGTTTGTCGGCAATCGAAATTTCTAATAAGAATTAGAATTTAGTAGAATGAACTTTAGAGCTGTCGAACGAGTAGTATAGGTACGGGCATATCTTCGCCGATGAGATAATTTAGTTTGAGCTACAGTGCGATAAACGTCGAAGTGATCAAAACGAACGAACAGAAGAGGAACCCGGCGATCTGAGCGATCATTTTCGACTGTTATTAAGTAAAGACTGAATTTCTTCATGTGTATTAGTAATAAAGTCTTAAGTCGTCAGGTCTATCCTTTCAAATCAACGAACGCTAACACAAAATAATAACGTGATCCTGGCGTGGGCCGGGTCGGAGGCCCACAGTCGTACGGACCTGTGAATATGATGGCGTGGGCCGGATTGGAGGCCCACAGCTCCACGAGGTGCACGGCGGCCCCGAACCGCAGGCTGGGGTGTCCGGCGAACACCACGCAGGGCTGGCGGAAGTCGCCCAGCGCGTCGTCGTGCAGCGAGCGCGCGTGCTTCAGGCGCCCGCCGCGCGCCAGCGCCGCGTGCGGGAACGGCTCCTCCGGCAGGTACACGCGCGCCTGAGGACGACCAAACCTACATCAGTGTGCCTGATCGAATCTCCGCGTCATAGCCACACCGTAAACGAGTACTTATCGTGGCTTACATACTACTTTTCCTATTAGTATTTATGACATGTGCTTTTTTTTATAAGTATTTACTTTATACATCATTACAATAATGATAATAAAAATGAAACATGTTGAAAAAAATATTCTTGGAATCTAGCGTTTCTCTGCCCGAGATCGGGCAGCATCTGATTTTACTCCTAACGATTCCAAAATACTTATAACTTGTGATAAATCACTTTTATGTTTTATTCGCATAAACTTCGGTCAAATCGATATCTATGCTATGTCGTAAGAGGGCCGCAGACCTGTTTCCCGACGGACACCCACTCGGCGAGGATGTTGCTGTAGGCGAGCGAGGAGTCGGCCACGGGCGACACGACGTAGAGCGGCACGTGCGCCAGCCCCGCGCCGTCCAGGTGCGCGGACAGGCACTCCAGCAGGTCGTACAGCACGCCGCTCGGGTACACGGGGCACAGCACCGAGCCGCCCGCGCGCAGCGTCACCGTGGCGTGCACGCACAGGTCCCCCAGCATGTGGTCCGGGTTGTGCGCCGGCGTCTGCGTGAGCGCGGCCAGCACCAGCAGGTCCGCGCCGCGCAGCGCCGCCTGGTTGATGGGGCGCGGGTGCGTCGTGAGGGTGCTGGAGCCGCTCACGTACGCCACTTTCTCGTGCGCCGAGCGCAACACCCAGTTGGCCGAGCCCAGGCAGAAGCCCGAGCTCACGGCCGTGGCGTCCAGGGCGCCGTAGATGTCCACGCGCTCGTCGTAGCCCACCACGCGCACGCGGGCGAGGGCGCGGGCGATGCTGGCGGGGGCGAACAGGCGGCGCCAGGCTCGCGGGCGCGCGGCCAGCGCCAGCGGGGGCGGCAGCACGTGCAGCAGCTCCTTCCAGCGCCGCGCCGCGCCGGCCGCGCCGCCCGCTCCCGCCACCCACTCGGCCAGCTCCTCCAGGTAGAATCGCCCGATCTGAAGCGTGGGTTCCGTGGCGTATACTTGGCCTTTGAAGCCCGTGTCCTCAGTGATAAAAGGTAGTGCCATCATGCACGTATAGTTGGAGATCAGGATCACGTCTAGCTGTGAAAAGTCAACGACCTTGTCCAACGGTGGGCAAAATTCTGGGATACTGTCCACGAATACGCGCCCGCAGCATTCTTTAAGTTCCTGTAATGTAAAATATGCCAAATGCATTCTGTTCTACTTGAATGAGTGAGAACTTCAATTTAAACATAAAATCGCTCCCGATCCTTTTTCAAACCGCTGTGTCCGACTGGTTGTACCACGGGTAAGTATGGTCTAACTACAGCTATCTATGGTCCAACTAAGATAATTTTTCTTTTCTGCATTTTGTTGTTATGACCCGTGACACAAGTGAGGCCCTATTGTCCAACTGATGTATGAACAAATGCTTTGTCCAACTGGTTGTACCACAGGCAAGCCCAACTATAAACAAATGGAGATTGGTAAAAATAAATGAAGATTGTTAATACAGTAGACCTATTTGAATACAATAGAAATTCAAGAATTTTTTCCAATCCCTATTTTTTTTTATAAACTATTAAAACATATTCACAACAGATGAAAGCTGTGACAGTGTGGTGTCGATTTCTAATCATCGGAAATATCAAACGAGATTCCAATCCATTGCAGTTCAGATAACAATAATTGATAACTTTTTTGTCTATATTATATGTTTAGTTTCTGTATATTTCCGTGTTATAACCAGTTGGACCATATGTAAACATACTTTCTAGTGTTGGACTACTGATAAATTCACTTATCCGTAGTCCAACAGCTTGGACCACGGGTGAATTTGCTTCCCTGTGCTACAATCGTTTGGACTTTGCTTACATAAATTATAACAAGTGAGGGCAAAAATATCATATTATGTTGATGACTTTTTCCTTTAGTTATAAAATAATTGATCATAACTCTTGAAGAAACTCTAAGACAAATCACAAAGAATGCCTACGAAGCTAACAACACACATATAACATAACAGTTTAAAAGCTTTATAAATATAACAGCTGATTTTGAGTTTCTTATTAACCAAATGTTGACAATCTTTGACAAGGAAGAAGGCAGTGAAACAGATTGAGATTTCCTTTAAGGAAATTCATCATCATTTTCCAGCCCAGTCTCCAATTTTATTTAGCCACCTGTTGTCTGATGCCATCTTTCCTTGAGAAATAAACATTTTTAGACAAGACAAAGGCAAAATGAAATTTTGGACAAGAATACAGACATGGCGAGGGAGCTAGGGTAAGGGTTACTGCAAGTCTCGGATTGACAAATGGGATTGAGACTGCAGTCATAGAGCCAACGGTCACATACCACAGGGATATCCTTGGCCATAGTTTATGGGAATTTTAATATTTCTTGATAAATTCTTGTGTACTTTTTAGACTATACTATCAATACAGAAGACCAGCAGTGTTGTGTCCTCTCCAGGAGTCACCTCGCCGCTTTCTACTGCACTGATTGTCTACATTTAGTGTGATCCACAAATTGTTGTTCTGAGTTTGGGTGTTCTTTGTGTTCATTTCATGTGTATGTGAGGTCCCCCACGACACAGGAGATATTCCTAGTGGAGAAGTTGCATATAAAAAAAAGTATTACTAACTCCTTCCAATAGTGGATCGTTAAGGTGCGGTGGTGTGTAATTGGGTAGCGAGGCGAGTCGTGTGCTGGGCACCGGTGGCAACGGCAGAAAGTTCAGGACAGAATGCGCCGACAACCCGCAGTCCAGCATTATCATCAATTCCTTGAATGACAGCACGAAACACGGTTTCGCCGCATCGCTGCTCAAACAGTACTGAACAAAAAGTTATTTCATATTTATTTATGTACCACCAGGCAATGAAATGATTGGCCACTGACTTAGGTTTGATCAAAACTTACAAGTTTCATTTTGTTGTTTATTTACACTTAACCTACAGAAGCGTTTCAGTTTGTCACTGTTCCTTTATTGGCTTTGTAGATCACATTTTAACTTACTGGTGAGAAATAGATTGTTTTACAACTATCCTCATAACCTACTAACAATATAGAGCTTATTATAACTTATTGTAACAGAAAAAGAGTTAAAATAAAGCACTTTTCAAATCCCTTGCTATGAATAGTGCGAATTGTGGTAAATAGCTAAATAAATATGTCAAAGTTGTCAAACGACAATGACAACAAATATGTCACTACTGTCATCTGTCACTGTACTGTCTGAAATGGCCTTTCTCTTTTTAGAGTATCAACCTTTTAGCGTGGTCGAATACGTTACAAAAACAAATTAATTATATAAATAATATAAAAGAAAGCGCAAAACTATTTGTTTTTGCAGGAAACTTATACAAAGCACAGAGACGAACAGATTCTTGCTGACAAAGAAAGTAAGAACCGGTACGATGATTGAAAAAACATTCCTTAAAGAGTCCTTTCTAGTTAGATAATAAAAAATGTGAATTACGAACGACCAATAAAATTAAGTACTATAGAAAAAACCATGCAAAATATATATAATAATATATAACAGCAAGTCTACTACTGCGTACCTTTGTGTTATATAGTTTGTTTGAGCGCTGTCTCCCTAAATACAGGCTTCTAGTTTAGGAACCAGTGTAAGTACCTTTTGTGACATCAATTTTTGCTTGTTGATTTTGCTTGTAATTAGTGTGGTTCCTTCAACAAAATAACCACCAGCAACCATTATAGTTTTAGCATCCATCTGTTTGAAAACGACATATCTCTTAGAACATAACATAAAGAAAACAGAAAGCTAACATTTACTGTAGGAACAAATAATTTTCACTTTACAAATGGTAGGAGACACGCTTTAAAGTTTCAACAATTGGTAACTTTTTATCAAATGACACAACAGTGACGGCAATCGTGTCTATTGATAATAATTGCAAACAATGATGGAGAAGCTCGCAACTCAAGAACCACGACTCTCGAACAATCGCTCTTCCCCAATGCTTCTCCACGACTCGTGACACGCGCGAGCTCACACTTCACGACAGACCATCGCAAAGCTACAAGTGTTACAGCTGGAAGCTCTGCGTCATTCACCGTACTCACAGGACCTTGCCCCAACAGATTTCAACTTTTTTCAAAATTTTGACCATATTTTAAGTGGGAAAAACACCCGAGAGGCAGTACAAAACGCTTTCGCTGACTTCATCGCCTCCCGTCCAGCAGACTTCTACAGTAAAGGGATAAACAGCTTGGCAGTTCAAAATGGCAAAATTGTATCCATATTTTGAGCCAGTACTTTGAATAGCTAAAATAAAAAATAACCATAATTTATATTTTAAACTTTTCATATAAATCTTCAACTTGTGAAGACCTAACATAAGACCATACATATTAACACTCTAATAATAATAATAAACAGCTTGCCCTTAAATACTATCTTGTGAATCTAGAGGTGCCATACTACAGTGCCCGACCCAGTTCTCGAGAATGGTCGGGCCACGTTGTATTGGGATCGATCTATTATCACAGACAGGACTATTATTGCCAATAAGCCTGATATTGTGCTGATAGATCGATTAGAGCGCCGCGCAATGATTGTTGATATCGCCGTTCCTCATGACGAGAATCTCGTGAAAGTTGAAAAAGAAAAACAAATCAAATATTTGAATTTATCTCACGAGATTGTCGATATGTGGAATGTCGATTCAGTGATCATTGTTCCGATAGTCGTATCTGCTCACGGATTGATAGCCAAGAGCCTCGACCAACACCTTAAGAGGCTCACGTTGGACGGCTGGATCAAGGGTCTGATGCAGAAGGCAGTCCTCCTTGACACGGCTCGTATAGTGAGGAGGTTCGTATCTTTGGAGTCCTAACCACCGGTGTCTTGGTCCCTGTACCCGATGTCGGTGGTCTTCTATTTTTTATATTGTATATATATTTTTTATAATTTTTTATAAAGTGTATGTTTAAAAATGAAAATAATATGTATATAAAGTAAATAAAGAGAATAATAATAATAAAGATTATTTTTATTAACACTAACTTTTTATTATTATTAACACTAACTTTTGAAGAATCACGTTCCTTAATATAAATTGCTAGATTTTGCCAGCAGCTCCGCCCGCATAAATGATGGTTATCGCGGTAAATAACCTTTTTTATTCTTTTTATGTGCCACGCCTATGTCTTCCCTCAAGACTCAAAGTATGTCCATACCAAATTGCATCTAAATCAGTTCAGTGGTTATTGACTTTGGGAGGGATCATTTCTTTGATAAAAACTACCAGTTATTTCATACAAACAGTCCTTTCCCGGGACTCGGACAATTTCTATACCAAATATCATTTAAATCGGTTGAAGTTAATTAGTGGTGGTCATGTCGGCATGAAGACAGACAGACAAACTTTCGCATTTATAATATGTTGGCAGGTGGCGCTGGCTGTAGTCACAGGCTGCACAACATGTACATTATATATTGTAATTACGTCTTTAACATTGGTATATTGTGTTTATGAAATTCTAGTAAAGAGACGGATCTTCTTACTTTTCATCAAAATATCAGAATTCAGAAAGAAGATAGTAATGACAAATTATCACAAAGTGGTAACCATGAGAGTGCCACAGGGTTCTATTTGATTTATATTAATGGCTTACTTGATCTTGTTAAGATTAATAACCACAAGATTGAGAGAAAAACTAAATGTACCTGGCTCACTTCTATAAATGCTAAACATGTGAAACCAGAAGACGAGTTGGATGTAGTGGAATTCTAAAAACTAAATGTACCTGGCTCACTTCTATAAATGCTAAACATGTGAAACCAGAAGACGAGTTGGATGTAGTGGAATTCTAAAACTGCTTACAGGTAGAAACATTCGTCCCATTAAGAGAACTAGATTAGTCCATTTTAGTTGTTTATATAGTATAATGTCGTCTGGTGTTCTACTGTGGGGAAAACCGTCGATATCCCATCTATGGTTGTATTGCATAAGGAGACTCCACACTTATAACTTAATTTCTTATTTCTCCTCTCTTTCCCCTCGGTTTTGCTTTAAGACTTTCTGCGAATTTAAAAAATGACAAAATATTTAAAATTATGTTATTTATGTTATTGAAATGCTAGGTGTCAATATCCTAAACAGGGCAAATATAAAATAAATTAAAATAAATAAATCACGATACTCTGAGGCAGATATTAAAATAAATAATTTTTTTGACACTTCAAGAAAACAAAATTCACACCTCTAGACTCCAAAAAAAAAAATTTGTGTCAAAAGATCAATGAGTAGGATTCTATAATAACTCTCAGATAATCGGAATATTAAACTTAAGCAAGTTTAGCTCCACAGTCGAACGAAAGCTTTGCCTTGCGAACAGTAGCAGTATACACAATATGGCATGATAAAAACAATTTGAACTTGCAACCGATAGAAATATAATGTCATTTCACTTCTTATCTTCTTCAATTATTAAAACGTTTAGGATAATATCATCCGTGCGGTGACGGATTAAGAATACGAATACGACGAATACGACAACAACATTGAAAAGAGAAGGAAAACTTAAAACAAACCCTTTACCAACCTATCTGGCCAGCGTGGTATAGTAGGCCAAAACCTCTCCTCTTTCTAATTAGAGGCTTATGTCCAGCAGTGGACTATTAGAGACTTTTGATGATGATGAAGGATAATATCGTTTTAGCTTCACATTTAATTTTAAATACTTCATAGAATGGTAATGTGAGGTAAAACGTTGTATCTTTACCTACCCCTCCCTTTTTCTTTCTTTTAACCGACTTCAAAAACACAAAAGAGGAGGTTATCAATTATCGTGTGTATTTTTTTTTGTATGTTTTTTTAATTTTATTGACTTTTAGTTCATGTAGTTATATTTTTCAATTTGCACTATTGCCATTAATTTTGACATATTGGTGACTCTTCAACAACTATGTTTCTTCATGTTCTTGAGTTTTTCAACACAATAGTCCCTCTTTCTAATTCTCCATATATTTTGTATATTGTTCTTTTTATAGGTATTTTTAGTATCTGAGCTGTATGGTCTGAGAGTGTGAGATCTACAATTCTAGACTTAGAAACTTTGGGCAAATTGTGTGCTAACTCTTCTGATTTGAGCTAAGATGTGTATTAAGAATGCAATATTAATAGGCTTTCTTGTCCGTGCTAAACATAAATCACATGTCCTTGTAGAATGTCATCTAAAATTGCAAAACAAATAGAAATAAAAAAGTAATCAGTTGGGGTAGTTTGCATGAAAAGTAGGATAGGTAGGTAAGGTAGTGCGGTAATCCCCTCGGAAACCACCCACCGGTAAGGTGGTCATGTCGGACTTGAACCAACCAAAACCGCACACCGTCTCGGGTGCCAGTAGCCGTGGAACCAGGTGTACCCTAGGAAGGAGTGTCTTGGTACCCCGATGGACCGCAGGTCATCTACGGCTTGTAGACGACCTAATCGTGTGTGGGAACCACGATGTTTCCGCAGACTTCTCCCTAAAGGACATTCCGCAGCGCCGCCACCCTGGCCTGCTTCTGATGGCCTCATCTGTCACACCCAGGCCTGCGCTTATGGAGGACGGAGGTTGTTCTGTGATCTCCGGCGGTTTCGCTTGCGGTACGTGGCCACTGTCACTGTCAAAATTCGTAAATAATATATAGTCAATTAGTGATGCTTATACTTTTACTTTTAATAAAAGTCTTCAGCAATACATGTCTGTCTTTTATTCTATTTTCACAAATCAATTTTTGTTGAACGTTATTTATATTCACCGATATGAAACCGTTAAGCAGCGCGTGCCGATAAGTCAACGTATCAGCCCGTTTTTCTGGAAATTGATTCACAAATACATATATTTATTGCACCCTAAAAACAGTATTAATAAGAATCAAATATAGCCAATATAGGCTCTAGTAAAGAGCCTTTTTACTAGTGATAAGATAAGTGATAAGTGATAATCGGTTCAGAGATTACTTCCTACAAACAAACAGGAATAGTTTAAAAGCCTATTGGATTTTATGTAGAAAGAAAAGAAATGTGTGATAGACACAGATTGACATGATGCGATCGTAAATAAGTAATAAATCATTTCAATTCTTGAGGGTGATTGGTGTTGGCAACGCGCATCAAAGACTTGTTTTGCACTATACTCGTATCACTTTAAATATCACTAAACACTTTAAACTCGAATCATATCAAAATGTAACGAAATGTATTGTACATATTGATGTAGGTAATAGTATGTATTTATATGATTACAAATCTCTCAGGTCTGTGTTTAGTTTTTGCTACTTTCGATCGCGAATTTTTAAAAGCAGAAAGCCATAACTTGTTAATATTATTTTACTCAACACGATTTTCTCCGAATTCTAAATTTTGTGAGTCTGGCAAGTTGCACGTGTTTTTCGTCTTATTCATCTTTGAACAATTACTGCGAGCCCTCTGCATTAATGTAGTATTTTGCATATGCTTAACGGTGTTATTTGGAAGTCAATATGGTTTCAGAAATAATTATTCAACACTACCTCATCTGCTACTCAACTAGGTACCAACAAAAAGATTAATTAACATTATTAACAAGAACAGAAAAAGTAGTCTTTGAGGACAAGAAAAAGGATATTCAATTAATTAATCTCTCTCTTGTTGGTCCGTCTGTCTGTAAACCTTTTGGTAAAAGGACAGTTAGACCTACGAAGTAGAAGTAAATGAACAATATTAATTTAGCCTTAAACATAATCGTAATATAAGTACTACAAAGTACTATTGCCGTAGCAAACTTTTAGAGCAGGGCTTTTCTCTAGAATATGAACGAATTTATTATTCTAAGCATTCTTATTAACATGAGACAAGAAAACACAATGTATTTGGTTTTGAAACGAAACAACAGACATTCGCGATTTTTCAAAATCATTCAGTTTTTGTATGCTCATCCGTTTGATGACGGTACGTTTAATGCATCCTGCGTTAGTAAAATATTTTCGGTGAACAATTACTTGTCTGTCTTAATATTATTGTCTTAATATTATTCTCTAATGGTTTGAGACAAACACTTTTTTATAGGAGAGGATACCAATGACTTCGTTCTTGCCGTACGCGTCCCAAATAATTCAGAATACATTAGACAATCGTTGATCTAATGTCAAGTAAATTTGCATACTTACTTGGGTTCGTTAGTTTTCAAACTGTCAGTTCTATCAGTCACTGCTTTGACTGACGCGTATAGGCATGACTGATGGTGACTGAATAAAAATGTTGATTAATTTCTGATTATGTATTTAATATTAGCTCAAGGTCGTTGGCACACATTAGGGCCCTTTTTGAGAGAATAATTGCTGCCGGGGTTTACTTGGGTAAGAAAATATTCATCACTCAAATTTAACAGCTGGACTGGTTCGGAAGTTAAAAAAGAGTAATTATGATTGTTCTACGTCCGGGCGTCCTCTTAAATGTATGTCGAAGCTTTGTTTTTCATCTACATATACAATAATACCTATTTAGGGTAATCAAAGAGATATTTAACTCACCACAATTAAATAGCACAGTATATTACATTGAGTACTAATGTAGCAGCATGCAGCGGCTTTGCATTATCCCTTCTCATTCTCATGTATCCGCAGTGATTAATAACAGTTTACACACAACTTGCGTTGCGCCGAATAACGTCCAAACATTTGGACTTTTTATTTCCTAATGACTTGGAGGAAATAAATATAAGTACATATTTATATTGGCATGACGGCCTCTGTGACGACTATTCCCCCTTCTCATGTTTGTTACCGACCATAGAGCATGTGCATAAACATGAAATTGACTGCTGTAAGAACTGAGAGCGAAAGCTATCGTGTAACGGGTGCTTGTGGCGTAGGGCAGTGCGTCACTAATACGCGTCAGGGGCAAGTACTTGTTCAGTTCGTCAAGTGTCACGGCTTCGTGCAGGTGAGAGTGTTATACGGACGATCTGTGTCACTCGGTCAAGTGTCAGGTGAAGGTCGGCTGTGGAGCCAGCGACCCCCGAGCCGCGCACGAGTCGCACCCCGAGCCCGCCCGACGTCGCCCGACAGTTCCCGAGCAGCCGCCGCGAGAAGTGCCCGCACACAACATGTCTGTCGGTAAATTTTTGCGTAAGGACATAGAATCGCGCAACACGCGCAACAATGCCAACATCATCATCGACAATGTCGTGTACGACGTCACCGAGTTCCTGCAAGACCACCCCGGCGGCGTGGACGTGCTGCTCGACAACGCCGGGAAGGACGCTTCCAAGTGCTTCGCCGAGGTCGGCCACAGCGACATCGCACTCGAGTGGCGACAGAAATTCGTCATAGGGGAGGTGGTGGACGAAGACAAGTGGGAAGTGGAAAAAAAGGAAACCCACTCTCAGCAGGAGTCGGACCAGCTCTCGCTGAGTTCCGTTCTCAACGTTTGGGGACCGCCCATCGCATTGGGGTTACTCGCCATGTTTCTCTATTCCTGTTTCTTTTCCTAAACTGAGTGTCCAGCACCAGTGAAAAGGTTCAGTAGAAAAGGAACTACTATAGTGCCAATGAGCCTTACTGATTTTTTTAACCTACCCTTTGTGTAAAATTAAATTTTAACGTGTGTATACTTGGGTTAAGGTGGGATGATATGTTTTAATTGAGACTCGTCTACCATGGACGCTTGCACTGGAAGCAGCGAATCGGTGCGCAGCCCGCACGCCGGCGCAGAGGTGGCAGCCGCTGGCGCGTTACAACACCACCAGATACTACACAGCGAACGAGCGACGGTGGCCGGTGCTGAGTGTGGGGGTGCGGCTGTGCGTACTGGATCTACGCTATAATAACTAATAACATAATACATATCATGCCCTTTAATTTAAGTTAGAAACCTAAATAGTTTTAGGGAATAAACTTTGAATTGGAATAAATACTGATTATTATTTCTTAGTACCTTCAATATCTATTTCAGCTGAACCTTTACTGGTAGTGAGTATAGCGTTCGATTAGTCGGTGGTCGGGTGGCCGTGGCTGGGGTTGAGAAATGAGGGGTACGCAGTCGCCGCGGCGTGCGTGGTGCTGCGACCGCGAGCGGTGCCTGCGCAGACGCCGCTCGCGCTCCAGGCTCAAGGTTATCCGCTCCTCTTAGCTCGTTATAATACCATTAAACACATTACCAGTACGTACAGATGCGTGGCCTACTACCACTTAATATGTATTGTATTTAAATAAAATTACTCTTCTGAAATCTATTCCATTGTAATTCTTAAAACGTTTAACAATGACAAGCATATTTAACGACCGTATATAATATGTATTTAGGTACTTATTTGTGTTATGATGTACAGAGAAACTGCTGGTATAAGTGTTACATAGACATTTGAATTTTACTTAGTGAATATTTTGCTTACAAAATGTGTTGTGGGTAAATATAAAAATGTAATATGTGTGAGCCTTTCTGCAGCTTTCCATAACGTTATGGCGCGTTATGTGGAGGCCCACCGGCCAATATAGAGGCAGGCGGCAGTGTTTTGTTTCTATCTGATTGTGTACAGCACAAGGTCGACCACTCGGCGTAACACGTGTCGCGGCGCGCCTCACTTGTCAGTGCCGCCGGGCGCCGACCGACCATAGGTCTACTTTAATTGCGCCTACACGCATGTTGAAAGAGGAATCGATTGTCCGGTAATTAATGGTGTAAATAAGAGTGAGCAGCACTTTATATTCCAAGGAGCTGTCTCAATTCCTAGATATATTGACGCGGTGAAGGGCGAACACATGTTAGAGGGACACACTATCACGAGTACTTCAGTGTTACCTTACAAATGTTGAGCGTCGCTCGTGGTAAACGCTTGTAGTCTGTATCGTGGTAACGTAGGCTTCTGTACGTACAAGTCCGGCATTGCCTGGCCCCTAACAACTTTAGCCAGCTCGTTGGACAAACTGGTAGGTAACAACACTGCCAGTTCAGTTCTCAGTAGCTATACATCTGTTATCACTCATCACTGACTTTTCGCTTTCTATGTATTTGTTACTCCTCTGCCATATAATGCAGTAAAACAATTAAATTGACCACTCAAGTGCAATACCAAATGGTCGCACTTGAGTGGTCAAGCGTATCCCTTACTCTTGTGGATATCGTGTGACGTCTTGCTGACGAGTTATCTCTTTACAAGTAGACCCTTGTTATAAAACTAAGATATTACCGTTTTCCCCACTGAATGCATGGAAAGCACCCGTGGCTAGTCTAAATTACCATATTAATTATTAATATTTGATTTTGACTACAAGGATGGCGTAGTGGTTTAAGCGGTCGCCACGCCGCTTACTACTACGCTGAGTGTTATGGGTTCGATCCTCACATGGGACGACACTTTGTGTGATCCACAAATTGTTGTTCCGAGTCTGGGTGGTCTTTGTGTCCGTTTCATGTAAGTATGTTTATAATATTACTAGTGCGGGAGTTGTCTTTTTTTAAAAAGAAAGAAAGAATTATATATACAACTAGCTGACCCGGCAAACGTTTTATTGAAAAACAAAAAAAAATTAGGGATGGGTCCCCCTTACCATTCAGGGGTATGAAAAATAGATGTTGGCCGATTCTCAGACCTACCCGACACGGTACTATTATAATACAGTACTGCAACTTCATACAAACGGACGAAACGGGAGCTATACCTACGCGCCTCGATCTCGGGGTGCGCTCGGGGCGCAGACAGTCACGGCTGTACCGCAGTGTCGAACGGACTGCGTGTTGTTTTTTTAACAATAACCGCGCGATTTTTTCTCTAAAAATCAGTTAATATGACGAGTAGGAAATATTGTGCTGTTTTTGGTTGTATGAATTCGTCAATAACGCATCCAGACATAAGTTTTTTTAAATTACCTGGAAACTCTGAAAAGTAAGACTATAAAATAATTTTACTTACTAGTACGTAGGTACATAATGTGTGTCTTTTTAATGGATAAGTATTTCCTTTTATCTCACGAAAAAAAAGGTGTTTGGATGAATAAATAAAGCAAATAGAGTAACGGAAAGTTATTGAGACGAGTGAAATAGGGAGTTACATGCGGTTTTGAATGAATCATGATACGGTAGGTACCTACCTACTTACGCTTGTGTTAAAACTTCGGTGCATGTTTGTTTTGTTACTTTGCATAATTCAAAAAAAAGAAAATTCTACTTAAAGACGTGGTATTTTATTATTAATAATATATCTTTATTATCTGTGTGTATGAATAATACTAAAAAAAATTTGTTACCGTCTGTGTGTCATTAGACAGTTTTCGAAATTTTCACAAAGTGTTTCTGCTGCTACTATAATAACATATACCACTAAAAACTGGTTTTATTTTCTCGGTATTAACAACAACAGCTAGACTCATATATAATATTTAGATGTTTGAGGGTTGTGATTTTAAAACATTCGTAGTCAGCTGTTCAGCTTTTTAATAATTAATTAATTGGTGACCAAAGAATTTTTGTTTTGAGTTGTTGCGAGTTGTAGGTTATAGGTTAGGTAATTTATAGAGACGTTAATTAGCTGAGATAAAAAGTTACTTACTCGTCAGCTGTTTCTTGCATTCTAGTTGAGTAGGTGGTAGGTGTTGGAGTTTCTAAGGATTGGAGTTTTGTAACGCGTATGGAGAAAACACATTTATTTTATTTTATAGAAGGATTTTTTTCGGTCGCTAATTTATAAGCCCGATTGGTTTTTGGAGCTGTCTCAATTCCTAGATATATTGACGCGGTGAAGGGCGAACACATGTTAGAGGGACACACTATCACGAGTACTTCAGTGTTACCTTACAAATGTTGAGCGTCGCTCGTGGTAAACGCTTGTAGTCTGTATCGTGGTAACGTAGGCTTCTGTACGTACAAGTCCGGCATTGCCTGGCCCCTAACAACTTTAGCCAGCTCGTTGGACAAACTGGTAGGTAACAACACTGCCAGTTCAGTTCTCAGTAGCTATACATCTGTTATCACTCATCACTGACTTTTCGCTTTCTATGTATTTGTTACTCCTCTGCCATATAATGCAGTAAAACAATTAAATTGACCACTCAAGTGCAATACCAAATGGTCGCACTTGAGTGGTCAAGCGTATCCCTTACTCTTGTGGATATCGTGTGACGTCTTGCTGACGAGTTATCTCTTTACAAGTAGACCCTTGTTATAAAACTAAGATATTACCGTTTTCCCCACTGAATGCATGGAAAGCACCCGTGGCTAGTCTAAATTACCATATTAATTATTAATATTTGATTTTGACTACAAGGATGAGAGAGAGGCCTATGTCCAGCTGTGGACTAGTATAGGCTGTTGATGATGTTGATGTAAAGTATACGGTATTATTTGAAACAATTTGTCAAGAGTAATAATACATAATCGACTTTTACCCTGAGAGATAGAATAACAATGAATGGGTACATACTCGCCGGTAGGTATCTGTCACCGATGAATGTACGTTTCATAAAAAGCAGAGATAAATATTACGCACTGATATTGAGCGTCACCGTCACGAGAAGGAAAACTTGATACAACCCCTATAGACCGAAGAAGCGGTCTATGTCCAGCAGTGGACTATGAAAAGCTGTTGATGGTGATGATGATTAGGAAATCGGAATTCTATTTTTTTATGCAGAAAACCAAACATTGTTTAATTGACTACAAGACATAAATAACATACTGAAGTAAAAGTTACCTCTTTACGGGTAGCAACTGTTTGAATCTCTAAATATTTGTGATGTCAGATTGGTTGTTGTGCATGATCAGGTCGATTCCGCTCAGTACTTACCATAGTTATTTACTTTCAATTCTCTGCTATATGAGTGCTACTCAAACTATGTACGTTCAAACTTACTATTATACACAGAGAGAAGTTCTGAGCATACGACGATTTTAGAGGGTCATCCAAAATACTCATGTAGGTATATGTAAACCTATACATATACCTTACTTCTTGTATAACTGTTTGTAAAAAGCCAGTCTCGTATCGTTCGTCGTCTTTTACACAATCATCAGAACAATTGCATAGGCGGGCTTATTTGCAATTAAAACAGATACTTACGAAACTGTTTGTGGACTTATTATCGTCCTTGGTGAAGTAAAACCTTCACTGCTACAATAGTGACCAAGTTCCGTACAAAACATATAAAATTTAAGCGTGTCTCTGATTTAAAAATTCATGAGGTAATGTTTGAAATTTTTTTAGATACATTGCGCATGGATATTGTTGTTATTCTTTATTTTCTTAATAATTTTGATGTTTTTTAATGATTTATTATAATGTTATAAACAAGATAATTTTTGACTCGGCCTCGCTCGCTCCTGTTGAAATCTGTAGGCATACAGTAGGCGTAATTATATTACTTACCTACGTTTGTAGAAAATCAATGCGTTTCAATAAATATTTAATTTCAAATGATATCACGGCAAGTGTAGATTGAAGGATTCTAGAACCTAATGCATGTATTTCAAAGCACAAATGGGCCGGCTCGGAATGTCGTTGCATTTCACCTACTCGGCATCTCACTCATTCGGAGTGAAGTAGAAATTGTTGCTACTTTAAAAAAAATCATATGATAAAATTATTGGTTTTAGTTACAGCGATTTCACATTTTGTGTCCCTTTTATTATTCTTTATTTCATAAATTTTTATGTACACACTGTGAAGATTTGAGGCTATGTTTAGGTACGTAAGTTTTATTTTATATGAATTAACAATACACACTTTTTATATATTATTGAATTTGCACTAATTATTACAAATAAATATTTTTATTTTAAGAAACAGTTACATTTTAAGGTATTGTACGGTAGTACTAGCATAACGACTTTTGGTAACGGTGTACGGTAGTACCCACAAAACGACTTTTAATCACTGTGTACGGTCGTACCCACAAAACGACTCTTGGTCACTGTGTACGGTAGTACCCACAAAACGACTTTGGGTAACTATACGGTAGTACCCACAAAACGACTCTTGGTCACTGTGTACGGTAGTACCCACAAAACGACTTTGGGTAACTATACGGTAGAATCCACAAAACCAATTTAAGGAATATGAAGAAGAAACGGTACACAAATGTGTTTGCTAACGTCGCTCACCGCTGGCCCTCACACGTTTAATGAGTACTCTGTGTCAGACGTCCTATTCTGTGAGTGCACGTTTTCTATTAATATAGTTTGTGTGTATATTTGTTTAAGAAGCTATTTCATGGAAATGCAAACATCATCTTCCATTAAACATTAATTTGTATTCTAACAAAATTTTGTATCCAAAAGTATGAAAAGCATTAAGTAAATAAGACTTTTCTTTTTGGTCATACGATTACCCCCTATTGACCTTCAGAAAACTAAGCTGTTTCCTTGGAAAAATGGTGTTACGTGCTCGCAGGGATACCATCTCGGTCCTATTAACTTACCACTTGGCGCTGAGAATGAGCCTGTACAATTGGAAGACTTTCTAAACAATAACGCCACAGGTAGCTTTTTTAAGGAAGTAGACTAGAGACCCAACAGACTTTCAAGCATAGCGGCGGATGACGTGAGACTAAACATGCAGGCATCATAAAGTGCAATAACTTAAAGCGAAGCCATCACAGTGCTCGCAGATATAAAACTTAATATGAGTAACAAGGTTTTTGTCCAAACGAACAAGAATAAAAGTACCCTGAAATATGGTAAGGTTGGAAGATGTTTTTCTTTAAATAGACAAGAAAAATATTCGGAAAAAGGAATAGGATAACATAAAGGAACTAAAGGAAACAATGAAATCCCTAAAAAAGAAGCAGGCAAAGCAGCTAACGCTTCTATAGTCCGATACATCTTTCACTCAAATATACCCAAAGACAGGAGACAGATAAAAGAAAATTTAAGAAACTCATTTTGATTCTTCGGATGCCGATATTCTTTGATTTAATTGCCAATATTGCAATTGTGAATATTAAACTGTTATTTTTTAGTGTTGGTTATTTTTTTATGACTTGTCGTTGTTTTTTAGTTATACTAGTACTTAATTGATAACTTTTCCAAAAGCGTGTTTAAAAATGATTGATACAGTGTTTATTGTGTATCCATTCATGCTTCATTCATGATAAATCTTATGTGATTATAAATGCAAATGATGAGATTTATTGATTTTGATAAATCTTTATCTCTAAACTATGTTTTTAATCGAACAATATTATCATAAGAATTGGAAATGTCACTTGAAATAATGTTGTTAAAAAAAGTTTTTTTTTCAATTTTGATATAAAAATCTGAATCTGGAATGATTGTGTTATTTAAATCTTCATTACCGGTATTGATTTCTTATTAGCATTATAACCGATATAATTACCATATTACATTAATCATTACCGTATTCAGAAAAAAAGTATTAGGCCCATATCTCCACCAGTTTTGTGTATAATTTAGTATTACTTAAATCAGAATGTTATTTTTTTATGTAGCCTTTTTTTTATAAAATATACTTTTTTTCTCGCTATTTCCTTGAATTGCACGAACTGCGAGAAACATTACATGATTTAAATATTTCTTAGCAAATTGTGGGGGCAGTGACCTACTTCAACAGCGAGTCTTTGCTTCAGGTACATTTAATGTATTTTAATTAACGAGCTTTAAATACTTCATTTGTATTTTAAGATCGTTTGTTAAAAGTCATTTGTTACTTATGTCTGTGATGGCTGATAATGTGTTGATTCCCTAGGTTAGGACTTTAACATTCAACTGTATACTTATATGTTACGTAGGACGTAGGTAAGACGTTATATACTCGTAGTAGCGTCATTGGAAAAGTATCATTATCTGTGCTTTTAAACGAACCATAACTCAATCAACATTTACTTGACCTTAAATATAAAATAAAAATTCAAATCTACTCTATTAATAACGACCCGATATATATAAATCACTTTGTGGCAGTGTGCTGAATCAAACTTGAAACAAACCGTATACCAACCCGTCTGGCCAGCGTGGTATAGTAGGCCAAAACCTCCTTTCTAAGGAGACGCTTATGCCCAGCAGTGGACTATTTAAGGCTGTTGATGATGATGACACAGTAGTAGTAACTGAACGAACAGGAGACACGTAGAGATATGTGAGATATGTGTAGATATATTTTTACAAACACTTTTTCGTTGGTTGAAGTAATCTTTTATACTCAAATATTACTTCATATTAATTTAAAAGGGAACTTAATATGTATCTATAGCATAGAAACAGGAACTTTATTCTTTGTTCTGTGGTCTATAAGGTGAACCTGTAGTTAAAGTAATCATGTCACCGTCATCCCCACCAATGAGAAACCTGGGCTCCAGAATCAACAATAACACACGAAGGTTCAAGTTAATTAAAAAAAAAAGTAACTTGGAGAAGGTACATGGAATGATTATAAATTCATTATCAAAGTGAGCGATAAAAGAGCATAAGTAGATGTAAGACCAAATGGAAAAATAAGATCTATACGTTACGTTTGAAGTGAGTGTTTTTAGTCAATTATACCACAGTAGCTTGAGGATCCAGTTATTGTAAAACCTGTATGAAAACTGCTAACATTAAACTATTAATAACCATTTAAACGTGCTTCAGAAGTGTATTCGGTGTGCAATTCCTTAAACGAATGTCTGTTTGAAACAGATGAATCTGCGTCACCTCAGCCATAGCTAGCCAGAATAAACATAAATCATTTTTTAGGTTGTTAGTAAAGTATTTGCAATATAATTATTGCACTGGAACGATACCTATTCTCGTCTGATCAATCCTGAGCATTGAACGATGGCTCTAATTCAAAACATGCAAAACCTTGAGCAGGCTCAGGGTCATCAAATTGAACATTGACCGTGGTAGTGCGTTCGTCGTGCGTCATTTTTTGCTTTGACTTATACAATTAATACTTATTGTTGTAATTAAAACACGAAGATTGATTGTACAAAGTATAAATGAAAAAATATTATCTGTTTTCATATAATGATGATAAGTGGTTATCAGGGCGCGAGGCGCGGTGGGGAGAGCGGCTCGCTCGCCGCGGTCCGCTCTCTTCTCGGCCAGACTCAGTCACGGTTGCGCTCTCGTTCAATACTGACAAGTACGTCGAATTCCACTCCGCGTAAAACACTCGGTGCCGCGAAATGACAACTAAAAGGTTCACCAGGGAGCAAGTCTCCAAGTACAACAACAAGACTGAGAGCGTGTTCATCATTGACAACGTCGTATACGATGTTTCGAAGTTCCTCGACGAGCACCCCGGCGGACACGAGGTGCTCATGAACCAAGTCGGCAAGGACGCCTCTGAAGATTTTGAGGATGTCGGCCACAGCATCGACGCCAAGGAGCTCATGAAGAAGTACGTGATCGGGGAGGTGGTAGAAGAGGAGCGCATCGAGCGACCGAAGCGCAACCAGGGTTGGGAAGTGGACAATAAGGAACAAGAGCCCTCGTTCGTCAACACATGGAAGTTCCCTGTGTTGCTGGGTGTCGTGGTGACGATACTCTACTCGTATCTGTTCGGGTAGTATGTTTAAATAACTCAAAGATAGACTGATACCGTAAATTAGTGTGCACTGAGTGACGTTTGCTTACACAGCACAGATTATGTAATGTGATATTTATTAAAGTAATTTGATATTTTTACAAAACAGTGTTTTATGTTGTAACGTTGTGTCGCACGCCTGTCGACTGGAGGCCACTGGAGGGACCGGTCTACGATCTGCGCACTTGTCCAGTATTCATTGATTAAACATATCCCGCCACGGCACGGGCACGCCACGCCTCATTGCCTCTGCGCAGCCTAATTGTTTCTACTACTACGTTACTAATGTCTACACTCTACACTGTACTTCGCTACACGTCATAAATACACGTTGTATCCGTTTGATATCGTGCAAAGTAATATCTTGCGTTATCTATGTACCTGTGACTATAAATAGTTAATTATGGTGTTGAAAGCCTGTTCCTTACACAGGAATAAATTTGTCTATTAACAAGTATTGCAAGTTTTAGAAAACTAAATATATGTGTAAAATATACATGGACCTATATTTTATGATATTAAATCGTGCGCTTGGAGTGGATCTAGCATATAGGTATCTACTTACATTTAAATACATCTTTGTAGAAAGGTTCTTTAGTTTGATGTGGAGTGTCTTTGTTATTTACTAGTGCATCTGGGTACTAAGTATATGTTTAATAATGTGAAAATGACAACTTCATATTCGTAAGCGAGTAATATAAATGGTGTTTGAACATTTTGTCATACTATCAAAATAAATGTATCAATTGCGCTCTTGATGGTCATTGACAATATCAGCACTGCGGAAGTACACTCATATCTATTTAGAAACACTTGAGATTTGAACATAATCACAATTCTTATTGTGAAAACGCTTTCCAAACACACTTGTTTATTATGTTCATCGTACAGAAAATAATAATTTAAAACGATTTATTTATTATAAAACTTACAAGCTATAATCGTAGTTTGTTGAACCCTCTTTAGGCTTAGTTTAGAGTTGAAAAACGCGTGGCGGTACAAAAACATTGTACTTATACCGACAAACGAATATACGCAGAAGATGCATGTATAGACAAAATTATGTCTCAGAGTTAAACAGTAGGCAAATCTGATGAGGTTTATGTGTTTATTATATATCACATGTGTTTTGATTGTGTGTGTGTGTGTTAGGCAAACGTAACATGATGGCACAACAAGAGTGTTCTCTACACGGTGACCTTAGGTGTGTGTTTTGGATAGTATTAGCCGAGACCGCACGCGTGGTAGGCGGCGATGCTGTGATTGGTGCTAATCACAGAAATCGTAATTATTATTACGATTTCTATGGTGCTGCTGCTGAATGAAGAGATATCAATTTAAATAATTGTTTTAATTTAACTTCATAGCTACTTCTGTGGTTGTTCGACAACTTAATTGCTATCATAATTGTTCATGAAAAAATCTTAATCGCGTTCAAGATAGTGATGTCAAGAATATAGAATTGTTACCAGGCCGATATCCTTGGTAACAGTTATAGTATAGACTAGCTGGGCCTGTGACTTTGTTTGCGTGGAATTTGAAAAGCGCTGCTTTAGTGGTGTAGTTCAGTACGCTACTGCAGTCCATGAGGCCTCGGGTTTGGTGCCCGAACCGGGCCAATTTTTTTAAGGTTTTTTTGAGCAGCATAATAAAGCCTGAGTTACTAGAAACTACCTGGTAGAAAAAAAATATATCGAAATCGGACCAGCCGTTACCAGGAAGAAACAGACAGAGAGACTATAAATGCTTAAACTGGTTTTAACTATAGGTATCTATAGGTATATAGGTATATATAGGTATCTATATTTCTTAGTACACCAGCCACTACCCTGCACCTCCTTGCCTTTATGTTTTTCTCTCCATACCAAGGTTGCCTGTAAGAGATTGCCTCTGAGCGATAAGGCCGCCATTTGTACCTGTCTAACCTAGCTTAAGTTAATCTTTATATATTTATACCTGGTGTACAATAAAGAGATTTATTATTATTATTATTATTATCGTGCAAATAACCGACTGAGCATGAAGGAAACAATTATTGTGACACTTCAATTTTATTTGTTTGTTTAGGTAGTCGGATTGTCTGGGCGAACATAATGATCTTTTTGGATTTAGGTCGGGGTTCTCAACTGTGAGTGCAACCAACCAGCGTATTGTACGACTTCAAAACCACGTATCTGTCTAAAGAATTGAACTTGGTCCAATAAAATGTGCAGCAAAGATTGCTTGAACATCAGTATAGTAAACGAATTAATTGGAGGGACTGTGTAATAAGTATTTCAGATGTTTGTGTGTAATGTACTTACAATAAGTATTTCAGATGTTTGTGTCATATTTGTAAATGGACGTAGAGTGAAAATTAAGTGTATGGATTGATAATAAAAATGAGTAGGTTTATATTAATCTATTCACTTGTACATGTTTAAATAGAGCAATGGAGATGCATTTTTCTGGTCGCCGAGGTAGGAATAAAGGTAACTCCCGCTCCGGCTCGTTCTTGGTGCAAAGCATGTCCGTTGCAAGGCCCTTTGCACCGGGAGCGATGTCGGAATGGTTTAATAATTTGACTTCAATTGTAATAATATTTATTAGATTACATAATTTATCATTTAAATAAAGTAAGTTTATTTTAACAGTCTTAGGTTTCGACTGAATTTATTCATAATTGCCAGTTTAGGTGATATAGTGCACATAGTACATACCGCAAGTTAAATCTTACTTTGGGTACTAGAGGTCAACCAAATGAGTGTACATGTTGTGATTGTAGTTACTCATGTGTGTTTTCCCTGTATGCATCTTTCGGATACAATAAATTATATTATTATAGTCAATATAACTATAGTTTTGGGTAAGCAAGTTTTTTTTTCTAAGAAGACAACAAGACATACGAGTTCTAACGTATGTCGCTGGAGATTTTACAAACAATGATGAAAGGGACACAAAGAACACCCCGACGCAGGACAACAATTTGTAGATCTCACAAAGACATGTCCCACATGGGGTTCGAACTCAAAACACTCAGCGCAGTAGGAAGCGGCGAGGTGACCTTTTAAACCACCACGCCATCCGTGTAGTACGTAGGTATTATGCATCTCGTTTACAAGAACAGTTCTTGATGTTCCTGTTAAAGATTATTATACCACAAAATTTAAAACATTATTAATGCAAACAAAAGTATTGATTTTTTAATTCCAAGTAAATATTTCGATGCTGAATATTTTACTTCTTTAGTGGATTCTCTTACGACTCTTTCAGTGGATCCACTATTTGTGGATAGTTTACAAATAAGATGTAGATGAATAAAATAAAACAATATTTTATTATTGGTCTTTGCTTCCATCAAAGAAGGCTCTTTATTCTTAATATTCACATTAGATATCAACAGCCTTTAATAGTCCACTGCTGGTCATCGGCCTCTCCTTAGTAAGGAGGTTTTGGCCTACTATACCACGCTGTCTAGACGGGTGGTCTTAATATTGTCATTTAATGAATATTTAGTAGTACTTTATTTAAATAACATTTCGATAGTGTTGCGGATAGTTACGGGTTATCGTTACGGGAAGTTGGAGCCCTTAACAGTCCGACAACAGTCTTTCTACAGAACTTAGATATTGCCTAGAACTTAGGTTGTGGAGGTCTTATGGTCTGTAAAAAGTCGAGGTTCAGTCGTAAGTAGACTTAAAGCCGACCCTAACCTGGTTTGGGAAAAAAGGCAAAAAGTGTATGGACTTTCACCGTGTATATAATTCTTATTCGCTTTCACTTCAATCCGTCATCATTTAAATGATACCCACAACGATTTATATTTTACGGTCTGATTTATTGTTGAAGAATTCTTAAAAGTTTTTGCCAGTCAATAAATGCTAAGACGAAATTTCAAACCTGTCATTAACATTTGCGAATGTTAGAGAATCAATGGCATTGGCATTGGTTTTCACAAGCGTCAAAAATTCAGCATTCGTTATATCACATGTTTATGTGTTTGACTAGAACATCGTTTAGCACTTAGTGATAATGGATGATGCCTACATATTATTTGTTTTGAGGTACTCAGCGCGTACTCTTCGTGTGCATTAAAAGCAGTTCTATGACGACTGGAAGCAGTATATACATATAAGATTTATTCTGTAAATATTAGTTATTTTTTAATTTATAAATTTAATTAAAGTTAAAGATAACTAATAGTTTTTTTCTAATTCATCAATCATCGTCTTTGTTTAAACTGATTAAATTAATAAATGATCAACATCATCATCATCAACAGCTTTTAAATAGTGCACTGCTGGTTTTGGTCTACTATACCACGAAGGACAGACAGATAATTATAGGTTTGGTTTGTTTCAAGTTTTCCTCAAAAACAAATAAAACATATAATAAAGGACTTCTTAGCAGGTAGGATTTGTACAGTTTTTACTTTGAGTCCGAAGTAATAAAAAATCTAATAGCTGTTATAAACCAGTTTCATTTCTTGTGTAGTGCCTGTATATCCGAAGCAATTTAAAATTAATACAGAGCGAGACATCTCAGTCATGGCAGACTGTGCAAAAATGGAAGTGTACACAAGTACCTCATAAGCGGCTGTGGGATACTCTCATTCATAGTGTACGGTGGGCATTTACGTCGATATTCCCTCGCGTGTATATTCGCAACCCATTTAAAATTATAAAAAATCCAGGTTATATTAAAGCCGTATATTATTTATATATAGCAGACATAAAACTTATCTCGCGCAGTAAGTTATTTATTGTGTACATTTAAGAGTTAAACTAAATAAACAGTAATGTTTTTAAAAACTTTTGAGGAAAACATTTCGGTATGCAGGAAGATTCCAGGTTTTTCGTTACTGTTATTCCGATCTTTTATGGTTTCAAATAATAGAATATATCGGTAAATATAAGACAACTGAACATTGTTTGCTTCAATGTATCATATCAAGAGCCTTTAATAGCCCACTTCTGGAACTGGACTGCCTCTCCTTAGAAAGGA